ACTTAAAAGCTGGCAAAGAGAATAAAGAGCACATGTAAGAGATTTCACAAGAAATTTTTTTATATATATTTTGCACGATTTGAGCTACCGGTCCTAAGGCTCTTGACTTAAAATGTTATTTAAAGTTGAATGTATTTACGTTGCAATTAGAATATTGTAATGTAGAGCCCATTCTAGAGAAGCAGTTCTTCATTTTGTTCACGTTGGTGATGAAGGCTGGGATTGCCTTCACCAGTTCTCAGAATGTAGCCTGCTGCTTGTATTCATCAGAGGGGGTGAGTCACAGTCTTCTGCACCATGAAAACTTTGATATTACTATCCAAATAGTTTCCATTGTTAATTATATGTAGATTAAATGTGAATGTCTTTTGTTTCTATTCAAAGGTTATTTTCCAGCCCAGTTATCAGCGTACTCTGGAAAGACTGGAATGCTTTGTACCTACAGCAAACAACTTGATAATTATCAAAGTATCATAAATGTGTTTGAAAATGAGAGCTTTGTTTCATTCTGATTACTGTATCTGAAGTTCTCGATCTACTCTTAAGACTTCAGTATCTTTTCCTATACTGATTCGCTGTGTGAGGGATACTATGTCCTGTCAACCCTGGAGCTCAGCACGCCGCTGCCCTGTGAGAAGGGTGTGCCCAGACTATTACTGACATCCTCTTGGCTGCCTCCTCGTGCTTCATTTACGAATTCATACACCATACGCTCAGCCACCTTTTTTATTGAGCCTGTTCTGTGGTTTGGTCTGTTCACCCACTATCAACTGTGATAGTAACGTAAGTCTTACCTGAACATGAGTTTTGCTACCTGAAGTTACTGATGAAGCTGAAGAGGTCTCAACATCCCTAGAGCAGTTGCAGTTATGCCTCTCTCTGCGACTGTAACTTCTATGCAGGGGGAAAAAAGAAAGTTGGTGTCTATATAATGTACGCTATAAGTGCAACTGGTTTTATAGTAGTATAGGTATTCTAGAAAATTCTCAGTGACCAAACCAGCTAAACTAGTGAAGTTTTCAGTGCGAACAAGATATTGTGGATTGATATCTGCTTGGGGAGGAGTGGCTGGAGAGCTGCCTGGCGGAAAAGGCCCTGGGGGTGTTGGTTGACAGCCGCCTGAACATGAGCCAGCAGTGAGCTTAGGTGGCCAAGAGGGCCAATGGCATCCTGGCTTGTATCAGGAATAGTGTGGCCAGCAGGACCAGGGAGGTGATAGTGCCCCTGTACTCGGCACTGGTGAGGCCGCACCTCGAGTACTGTGTTCA